TGGTGGTGGTGGTGGTGGTGGTGGTGGTGGTGGTGATGGTGATGATGATGATGATGATGATGATGATGATGATGATGATGATTTAGGAACTTCGGGTTTACTTTTGCCAAAGCCTTGAGGATACAGAACGTAAACCTCATGAGCTGTCTTCTAAGCACATGGGGTAGCTTAATAATCATGCAGTCTTGGCGAGAGGGAAAAATTTCAGTGAGAAATTCCAGATAAAAGCTTTCTAAAAACAAGGAAGCCAAATGTTTATTCTCAAATAAGGGATTTATTTGGGAAGACAAGGAAAGATGCTGGTCACAAGCCTTCTAATAACAGCAATGAAGTCTGTACAACCCAGCTAACTAAAGTTTATCTGCTTGAGTAGATTCTTGGGCTTCAGAGCTTCTTTGGACTCCTGCTTTGGATGATTCCAGATGAAGGCTCACATATTAGTTCAGTGGTGAGAAAACTACATCTGATGTAAGCAAGCCAGGCAGCCACTCAGATATTTATTCATACTGTGCTTATTTGGAAATAAAGCCAAAGCTATTTGCTTATCCAACCCTTCACCATGACATCCCAAATTGCAATGTGGTTCAGTAAGTCTACATCAAAAGACATAGTTAATCACAAAAGGATTTACCAACGCTGGAGAGCTGAACTGCATACTGTAATATCCAGCACAGCAGCCCTTTTACATTATTGTGAGTGTGACTACCTGGTTTACCAAGAGTAAGTCTATCATTATGTTTTAAAAATGTTCCTGATGGAAGTCAGGAATTTAACAAAGAAATATCATATTACACAATAGTAGAAGAATCCTTCCCCACACCTGTTGTCTAAGATCCGCTAGAAGAAGAACCAACACAGCATTTCTACTTGTCAATTGTTGTGTTGCCAAATCTGTGAGATCACTGCTGGCAGAAGAGAGATGTGCCTAATCCCACTATGCTACAGTTGGCACATTTTTGACACGACTGCAGTTCTCATGCATTTTATTAATTCTGTAGGTAGATTCCTGTTTGGACCCAAACTGAAAGCAGATGTTATTACAAAAACAAGGGCTTTTCCTCTTTAGGATTCATTCATTCATTCATTCATGTATGTATGTATGTATGTATGTATGTATGTATGTATGTATGTATGTATGTATGTATGTATGTATGTATGTATGTATTTATTTATTTATTTATTTATTTATTTAACTTATTTCCTGCCCACTCTACCCAAAGTTCTCTGGCAGCTTACAACAATTACATTTCAATTAAAATACAAAAAAGATAAAATGATTAAAATACAATTAAAATTGCCATCATCCTACCCATCTTGTCTATACTCTATACGACCACTCTAGGCAGCTTATGTCTAGGATGTGACCGCAGTGTGCAAAATGTGAATTCACTTCCATGATCTCCCCATGTCATCACAGCAAGCCATTCAGTTCTCTTCGATTTAAGTGGTCACGCAGGCAGAGGGGAAAAAAGCCTTATTATTGAAAATCTATTGCAGTTCTGTTGAAGCAAGGTTCAAGAGAACTGCCTTAAAAAGGCTTTTCCTATTTCCTCATCTTATCTTGTCTCCTGGGGAAGAACTCAGTTAAACTGTACTAAATAAATGAACAGCAGCTCTGCTCACAGAGGAGAAACTGAAAAAGAGAGAGAGAAGTGTGGAGAGGCTTTGCCAAGAGAGTGAGTGCTGGTGGTGCTTGAGCAGGTGCATTTCTGTATGTGTATACACCTCATAAGGCTGTATTTCCTACAATTATTTCCTGTGTAGTCAAGCTCTTAGTAGTTCACTTCTCAAAATGAACAGTAAACTTTTTAATTGTGGATACAGAAGCACAATATCCCATACTGTATTCATAAACTGGATATGTTTTTTTTAATAATTGCATTTGCTGGCCTTTTAAAACAGAAGTTTAATTATACATGCACTACACACAAATTCCAGGAGAAAGTTCAATTGCCCTTTGGTAGAAGATACCGCATGAGCACATGATCTGTACTATGGTTGCTGGGAGAGAGCAGCCACAAGAATAGCTGAGATGTTGCTGTAATCTCCCTGTGCCAAAATATTCTGAAGAGCCATTTTTAGACTTAATGAAATGGCGAAGCAAAAGTGTGAGTGAGTGTGATACATACAATGGAGAAACATATTGTTCGTTCGTTTAGTTGTTTAGTCATGTCCGACTCTTTGTGACCTCATGGACCAGAGCACGCCAGGCCCTCCTGTCTTCCACTGCTTCACGGAGTTGTGTCAAATTCATGTTGGTTGCTTCGCAGACACTGTCCAGCCATCTCATCCTCGGTCGTCCCCTTCTTCTCTTGCCGTCACACTTTCCTAACATCAAGGTTTTTTCCAAGGAGTCTTTTCTTCTCATGAGTTGGCCAAAGTACTGGAGCCTCAGCTTCAGGATCTGTCCTTCCAGTGAGCACTCAGGGTTGATTTCCTTTAGAATTGATAGGTTTG